CTGGAGTGGAAATTCTCGCAGGTCTTCGGCGAGCGGACCGCCGGTGAGGAGGTTCAAGAAGGTACGAGATTGAGAAAGCAGTGAATTCGTTAGATCTGGTTTGGTTCTTTGATTTCCGATCTCGATTTAGGGTTTCGCCTTTAGTTTTCATGCTCAAATCGGGGGAAAAGGTTGGAAGAAATTATCTTTTTCTTCTTTTTGGTCGATTGAAATGGTAATGAACTTGGTGAAATGGATTTGGTTATCGATGAATTAGAGAACTATGATTTCTGTGTAGTTGACTTTCCCTTTTTGGTACTTGGATTCAGTGTAGTCTTCTGTAGATAGTGATTTTTTGTGTAGAGTTTTTTGTCATCTGTGTTCGATGAGCTTGACTATGGCAATGAAAATCCTCAAATTTGGGTTTTTTTAATTACAGTCTGGACACAGTTCAGCTCACATTTCAGTGTTTTCCAAGTGTTTTACTTTGAATTAAGTTATTTATTATACTTAGAGCAGCTCTTGATATTTTCTGAGTGAAATCTCCATTCTTAACTTGAAGTTTAGTTGCCTCAAATGATTTTATTGGGGAGGAATATACATCTGTTGCTAAAATTGATAGGTGTTATCATTATATAGAATCCGTCTACTTTGAAGAACTTTTATGTTACTCTTTGTACAACAAAACTTGCATTTTCTAATCAAAACCGGTGCATTACCTAAAATAATCATGACATCTGTATGCACACAAGCAATATCCTCACATACTAAATGAGCTTTTTTTATGTTTACATTAAGATGTTGCACCAATTTTAGTTGCCTGTGATTTTATGATATGATAATTACATTACAAAGTAAAGTTTATAAGGAAGTTGTTAGTAGCATGGCAAGATGGGGACAGGATACAAGATTCCTTTCTTCCTAATATTGGAAGATTATATGGATAATGTTTACAGGTCCAAACCAATGTTAGTAAGTGCCGTAGAAATGGTTAATAATTCAGGATCTTTGATGGGGGAAGAGTGCAAGTGAACTTGTACTTATTGTTGTAGAGAACAGGAGATACCTTGAGGTATTTGTTATCCTTTGCCTATCCTCCAGTTCGTCATCTTCAGATTGCCTTCTTGTCTACGCAATTTAGGTGCCAGTTTATACTTGGATATAGATTACCTCTATAGGTGACTGTCAGTTGCTTAGATAATAATGGTATTTCAAGACTAAGTACTGAAGCTATGAAGTTGAAAGGTATGAAATCAAAATTTTAGTTATATATGGATCCCCGCCCCCGCCGCCCCCCGCCCCGCGAACCCGGGCCCTCAGAAGGCTTTTCGGTATATGTACAATGATGCGGGAACCATCAGCTTTCATGCTATAGTACTCCGCTTTGTATTCTTTTGCACTGATATTGTCCTACTGTAGCTTATTTTGCCTGTTGCAAAGGATTTCCTTCTACTACATGCTCTTCTCACCTTTCTGTATGCTTATTGGCGGTTACTGATGAACACTTCTCCTTGCAGTTGACATTATTTCAGCGATAGAGTTTGACAAATCTGGAGATCATCTTGCTACTGGAGATAGAGGTGGTCGTGTAGTTTTATTTGAGAGGACAGATGTTAGGGATGTAAGTCCAATGACTTTATCCTTTTGCTGCAATTGTCTATCATCTTTAACCTATGTACCTGCCTTTTTCTTTATTCTTCAATTGCTTACAATTTCTGTTTATTTATTTATCGCGTAGCATGGTTCTCGAATGGAACTAGAGAGGTCAGATTATCCGGTTACCAGACATCCTGAATTCCGCTATAAAACGGAGTTTCAGAGCCATGAACCCGAGGTAATCAACTATAAGAACTTCTCATTTAACACGATGTTCTGTTATTATATGCCATGTGTTCTTTATAGCTTGATGTTGAACGTGCAGTTCGACTACCTTAAAAGTTTGGAGATAGAAGAGAAGATTAATAAGATTCGGTGGTGCCAGACGGCAAATGGTGCACTTTTTCTTCTCTCCACGAATGACAAAACTATCAAATACTGGAAGGTAAGCATAAAATTTTCATTTAGTTAATGTTATTCTCTTGAGAAATCAGTGGTTGTAAGGCGTAGGGTGAATTGATTCATGTTCACGTTTTGTTCTGTGCGCCAAATGTCATGCTTTTTTATGAGTTAGTTTGTTCTTTATCTGCTTCTTTTTTGACCTCCCCA